TTTCACATAGCAAAATGCACAAAATGAAAACAATTCATTGAATCGTTTCATTGTTATTGCACGTTTATCTTGCCAAATGTCACCGCATTAGATAGCATTATTTGTAATATAAAGATATTTAAAAATAATGATCGTTTAATTGACTGAATTATAATAATTCGATTTGATCGGGGCTCACCGATGACCCCCACGACAGTCAACGTGTTAATATCTCTTCTTAATCTCATATCACTGCGCCGTTTTTTTAAACGGTATAAGTTCATTTTTGGAAAAAAATAAAATAATGGTAGTTTAGTGAGATATAGATATCCTCTTTTCATATTTATAATTACACAACAATGACGTACGATATCTTCATAGATTAATCAAAAGAAGTTCAACTGTGAAATATTATCGTAAAAATGTTTTCTTTGAAAGTGGAATAAGTCTATTTGTAGCAAAAAAATCGTTTATTCTCTTTAACAGTTTTACCGATTATTATTGCATAATAAAACTTAACAAGTTTATGGTTTTATAAATATTACCCGAGTTGATTAATCTTTGCCAATATTTTTAAGTTGATTCAAACACAACCCTCAAATATCTCAATGTTTGAAAGCATGGACTTTTACCATTTTAGACAAAACGGCTCAATTCAAGTTTACTTTAATTTCTCAATAGCTCTTCATTTTCGTGTTCATTCGATAAATAATCGTGCGTTATCAAATCAGAATATTCGTACTAATACGAACCATGGTATATTGAAGTGTATAGTTATCCAATGTTTATTATATTCATTGAATTCGTTTCTAGTCATTTGGAGAACACCCAGTTAAAAGGCTAATAATTTAGTGGAAAAACAAAAGAATCGATGCTTATTCTGTGTCTACGTCTGTTGTACAGATTAAAGATCGATAATAGACCAGTAATATTCCACTTATATTAATAATAGAAAAATTAGATTAATTAGATTTGGTGAATTTCGTTTAAAATTTTCATCGTGAGCCTGACACGATATTATAGGGCAAGGGGTTAAAGAATACAGCTCAAATTGATCAGTTTTCAACTGTTCTCATCTCATTTTCGATACTTATTTGCTATTCGTCAATACGGTTACACGTAACTAATCAAGATTATAAACGAAACTTATTAAGTATTAAGAAATTAAGGATCTGTGATTCAATGATTATAAATTGCACGTGGACTGTGTAGTAATAAATTAAAACTCACATACAGGTTCACGTGTGTGTATATATCTCTGTGTATATTTTGATGGATATTTCATTATATTTTTTAAATTATCGAGGTGATTATGGACATTGAAAAAACGAATAGATCGAGAAAACACAATTCAATGGTTTCTAGGAATACGAATGTTCATCGAAAAATGTTCTTTTCCCTTTTACCTCATTTTTAGAATCAGAGGGCCAAGTTTTATACATCAATAAATTACAAAAGCATTAAACAAAAAAGCAGAAGTTTTACAGAATCAATTCAATTAATAATATAAAACTTTGAAAACAAATGAATCTTACTGATTTCTTTAAACTCAGGAAAACGGTTTGTTTTCTTCTAAAAAACAAAAAGCTTTTGTTACTAGGAATTGAATAGCAACATAATATTGTTTATCGAGAAAATTAAATAATTAAGGTGTTAATAGTTGAACTTGTAGTCTCAGAATCAAACTCGGCTACTGAACATTAGAACTACCGGACCAGTCAAACTGACCCACTTCAGAATTTTTATTTTGCAAGTGTTCAACACATTCCGTGCCACCGGAAATTTCGGTTATATCTTGCTTATGAGTGCACTGATTTTTTAAATGAAATATTAAGTTACATTCAAGTTTTTGGTGACTTTTATGTATATTTTGATATTATTTCTTCACGTTTTCGCTGTTTCGCAACGTGTGCTGCTATTATTTGCACGTGTTTCACAAAAAATATTTCCTCAGAAAAATTAGGCGTGTACCACAAATGGTACACGTGGCACGGAACGTGTTAAACTATAAAGGCGTTTTTGCGAAAGATTTGAAATTAACCCTGTGCACTGGGATCTTTGACTAGAAATATTTAACATTTTCCAATGAGTTATAGGTGACATTTTTTTGGACGAACTGAATGATAGAACATATATAAGTTAAGAAATAAAGTCATCGTTTATATATTTCACATATTTATAAATTATATCAAGTTTAATATTGTATGTAAAATTTTATAATTTTGGTATACCAAATCAAATGGTGAGTGAGAGTCACCTCTCAAGTGCAAAGGGTTAAACTTGTGTATTTGCACAGATACAAAGCTAGCAGACTCTTCGAATGTGAAGGAACGTATTGTTCTAATTTTTATAAGAAATTGGAAAAAAGTAACTACAATTGCTCGGTAGTTTTGAAGAGTTGAAAGAATAGAAAATAATACTAATAATAATAATTATTATATATATAAATATATATATATATATATAGCTACAATAATACAATTTTTGCCAGAATAACAAATTAGACCCGTCATAATAAACAACGGGGTTAAGTACCTGAAAACAATTATAATTTAGAGTAATTTCGGGTGAGATGGCCCGATCTCATAATGAATGATCAAATATTTATCTTTTCAATCGTTTCTAGTGATACCCTGAATCCTGCACAGCGACCTATCCAACTATTCTTCCCACATGTATTCGTTTTCATAAACATATTTCATTTTCCCTTAGGTATCAATGATATTCACGACGTAATAGTTCGTTCAACCCCTTGACTGGAAATGACTTCATACATTATTGTCAGTTAAATGTTCTATCTTTTAATACTTCGTATAACTCTACAGCTTCTCTTCACAATTCGATTAGATCACTTTCTAAACCTGTCGTCTCGTAACCAAATTAATTTTCTTATTTTCACAAACGAACGTAATTAAACCTGCAACACTCTTCTTCGTAACAACTGTACCCACAAAGAAGAAATAAATAGCGCAAGTAGTAACCCTCGAATCGGAACAAACCGTAAGGCAAGGGATTCTAACCTAAAAAGAAGTTAACCCAAAAAGTGTGCCATCCTCCTCCCTACAGTGCTCAACACAGCGAGAAAATTCAGCTTCGCTCGGTGCAGTTTTAGCTTCCAAATAACCAGCGAACTTCTGAAAGGCGTACTTTACGTATATATCAAAATCTATGCGTTTTAAAATTGTGGTCGTGTAGTTTCTATTCCTCGTCCGGCCCCATCCCACTTCTATCTCCACCGGCGCGTCCTCCGTTCAGGAAGAGCCTCCTCCCTGTTTTCCCCTCGATCGTTTGCCTCTGTACAGAAAGGACGAGAAACGCGTTCCTGCGGTGTCGTTCGGTTCGCCGGAAGGGAAATGAAGTTTCTCGAGGGAACCGACCGCTGCTTGTTGCGCCCGAGATCCGTCGAGACAGGGTCGAACGGAAAAAAAAAGGTATTTCGTCGTGTTTCTTTCTCCTCTTTTTTTTTCTCCTCCCGACGAATTATTAAATACCGTACGTCTGTACAAGGATTAAAACTGAACACACCTCGAGGCGGTCTTTGGCATTCAAGCGACTTCTCCGGTACGATCGACCTTCTCTCGTTTCCCCCATTTCTGTTTCTGTTCCTCTTTATTCCGATTTTCTTGCGTTTTCACGTTTCCCTCGTCGATTACCCGAGGAAACCGTGAAACACTCTACGAGCTCGAAAATTATCTTCTAAAAAAAAGAACGGCTCGGGACACGAGCCGCCCGTTCCCCGCGTTAGTTTCAGCGCCGACCATTAATCGCCCGCCATGTTTCCCGTTTAATATTATTCAGCTATATAATCTCGATCATCTATAATGTATGTATACCGTTTATATAATATTACGTGTGTGTTATTTAATAATAATAATACCGATTATCAATAATAGTAAGTAATTCGTTAGTTAGAATCGTAATAATAATCGTTTGCCATTCCGTGAGACAGATCTTTTCTGCTTTCTTCTTTCCCC